AAACGATCTTCGAGTTTTTATAAAATGATCTCTCGAGTTTTATAAAACGATCTTCGAATTTTATAAAACGATCTTCGAGTTTTTATAAAATGATCTCTCGAGTTTTATAAAACGATCTTCGAGTTTTATAAAACGATCTTCGGGTTTTTATAAAACGATCTCTCGAGTTTTATAAAACGATCTCTCGAGTTTTATAAAACGATCTTCGAGTTCTTATAAAACGATCTCTCGAGTTTTATAAAACGATCTTTGAGTTCTTATAAAACGATCTCTCGAGTTTTATAAAACGATCTCTCGAGTTTTATAAAACGATCTCTCGAGTTTTATAAAACGATCTCTCGAGTTTTATAAAACGATCTCTCGAGTTTTATAAAACGATCTTCGAGTTCTTATAAAACGATTTCTCGAGTTTTATAAAACGATCTCTCGAATTTTATAAAATGATCTCTCGAGTTTTATAAAACGATCTTCGAGTTTTATAAAACGATCTCTCGAGTTTTATAAAACGATCTCTCGAGTTTTATAAAACGATCTTCGAGTTCTTATAAAACGATCTCTCGAGTTTTATAAAACGATCTCTCGAGTTTTATAAAACGATCTTCGAGTTTTATAAAACGATCTCTCGAGTTTCATAAAACTGCTGTGTTTACGCGTTTGCGGGGAATTTTGGCTATTGATTCCGTCGTACCGATTTTGCCCCCAACAATGTGCGTGGGTTCCTTGGATTGACAGGTTACTACAGAAGGTTTGTGCAAAGCTATGGAATGATTGCTAGACCGCTAACTGAGTTGTTAAAAAAGGAGAATTTTTTGTGGAATCAGTTAGCTCAATCGGCGTTTGACATGTTGAAGAGAGCAATGACTACAACGCCTGTGTTAGCACTTCCGGATTTCTCTCAACTATTCATCATCGAATCAGATGCTTCTGGTTACGGTCTGGGAGCAGTGCTCATGCAAGGTAAACATCCGATTGCTTATTTTAGTCATGCCTTGTCTGAGAAGGAGCAGTTGAAGCCAATCTATGAGAGAGAATTGATGGCTATTGTGTTAGCAATTCAGAAGTGGAGACATTATCTGTTGGGGAGAAGGTTTTTAGTGAGGACGGATCAACAAAGTTTGAAGTATTTGTTGGAGCAGAGAGAAGTTACTCTGGACTACCAGAGGTGGTTAACTCGTATTTTGGGATACGAGTTTGATATTGAGTACAAGGTGGGCTCTGAAAATCGTGTTGCTGATGGTCTGTCTCGCATCGTGCATTACAAGGCAGCTCAGGTTCTTCATCAGTGTTTCACCTTGACGTTCCCTGCAGCATTGCAAGTTCAAGATATTTATGCAGAAATTGACAGTAGTGATGAGATACAGGGTATTATTGCTCGAATGCCTTCAGACGAGTTGAGTGAGAAAGGTTATTCTGTGGTGCAAGGACGATTGTTCTATAAGGGTCGTCTGGTGTTGCCTGAGAAGTCAATACACATCAACTTGATTTTACAGGAGTATCACGACAGTTTGTTGGGAGGACATTCTGGGATATTGAAGACGTTACAGAGGATTCGTACTCTGTTTTATTGGCCAAAAATGCGGAAGCGTGTTCAAGAGTATGTCGCGGCGTGTGAGACTTGCCAAACACATAAGTACTCGACTTTATCTCCTGCGGGGTTACTTCAGCCTATTGAGCTTCCGAATCAGATATGGGAGGACATATCAATGGATTTCATTGAAGGCCTTCCAGCTTCACGTGGATGGAATGTGATCTTTGTGGTTGTTGATCGTTTGAGCAAATACAGCCATTTCATATTACTTAAACATCCATTCACCGCTGCAGATGTGGCTCAGAAATTTGTGCAAGAAGTAGTGAGGTTGCACGGATTTCCGAAGTCAATAATATCTGATAGAGATAAGATCTTCCTGAGTGGTTTTTGGAAAGATTGTTTCAAAGCTTCAGACACTCGCTTGCGGTTTAGCACTGCTTAATCGTTGTCTTGAGACGTATTTACGCTGCTTTGCATCCTCTCATCCTAAGACGTGGTCCAAATACTTAGTGTGGGCTGAGTTGTGGTACAACACTTCGTTTCATACGTCAACTCAATGCACACCGTTTAAGATGGTCTATGGTCGTGATCCTCCACCGTTGCTGCGTTTCGAGGAAGGATCCACAAAGAACTTTGATCTTGAAGTAATGTTGAAGGATCGGGATGTGATGATAAGCGACGTTAAACAACATCTGTTACGTGCACAGGAAGTGATGAAAAATAATGCTGATAAGCATAGGCGAGATTTGGAGTTTCAGGTTGGCATGAAAGTGTATTTGAAGCTGAGACCTTATCGACAGCAATCTGTAAGTCGCCGTTTGTCGCAGAAGTTGTCGGCTCGTTACTACGGTCCGTATGAAGTGTTGGAAAGGATTGGGAAGGTGGCTTATAGATTGCGTTTACCGGAGGAGTCTAAAATTCATCCAGTGTTTCACGTGTCTCAGTTGAAACCGGTGGTGGGTCAAGGAAGAACGGTTGTAGCGCTACCACCAGAGTTGTCAAATGAGGAGGAGTTACTTGTAGAGCCACAAGAGTTGTTGGCTACTCGTTATGATGTGGAGGGTCATTTGGAGGTGTTAGTGTCGTGGAAGAATCTTCCTGCTCACGAGAATACTTGGATGAGATTGTCGGATCTAAAACATCAGTTTCCAGATTTTACGCTTGAGGACAAGCTGGTGCTTCACCCGGGGGGTATTGATATGCCCTTGAGGGTTTATATTTCGAGAAAGAGGAAACATAGTAGGGAGGAAGGAAGTGTGAAGATTGCAGAAGCTCAAGAGGAGTGATGAGCTGGCAAGTTTAGTATTGTCAATAAACTGTAAATAGAAATGTAACTTTTTTTTTTTTTTTTTTTTTGAAACTAAATAGAAATGTAACTAGTCCTGTATATAAAGGACGTTAGGAGTTAGTTACAGAGTCATTCAGTTAGAATCAGTTGGCTTGATCTCGACTTGTGAGATTCAAGAACTTGGCTTAGTCTTCTGGATTGTAGAAGCTAAGAGTGGGTGGTTGGGCGGTTCTTGTCAATAATACTACTTAGTTCTTATCAGTTTCATCTCTTGGCTTTCGTAGCTGGTTACTTTTTTACTGGTTTCTTCTTCAGCAAGGCACCTGATGTAAAGGCTCTACAACGAACATTATCCTATGAAACAGGAATGCAAAGTAGTCTTCTAGCTCTGGCCCTCGCAACAAAGTTCTTTCAAGATCCTCTTGTTGGAGTGCCTCCAGCGATCTCCGTGAGTTAAATAAAAGACCCATTACATCTCTTTGCTTTTAGTTCTTAACAAGTTTTTTTCATTTTAATCTAAGACAGTTTGTAATTATTCTACAGACGGTGGTTATGTCTCTGATGGGTGTCTCGCTAGTTACAATATGGAAAAACAGAAAGGAGTAGTGACATAAACCCTAATCTGGGATGTTCCACGATTTTTTACGTTGTTTATGTTTTTTTTCTATAATGGCTCTAGTTATAATTTCTCTTTTTAAATTGGTACTGGTACGACTAGCATGGACACATTTATGTGGAACCGTGAAACTGAACCTTGTCAAATCAAAATAACCAAAACCAAAATTAAACCGAATTTCATAAATAACCTATATCTCTAGAACAAGAAAAATCGAGCCTGAATTTATTAAAAAAAAATATTTTATATTTAAAGTATAAATTAAATTGAGTTTTTAAATAATCACATATCTTAAAAATACTATTTGTAAACCAAAATAACCTAAATACCTAAACCCTGATTTACCTGAATATTCTTCTATCCAAAATATTGAAATATCAATTAAATTGAGTTTTAAAATAAACCTGTGAGGGATAAAACTCACTTTCTAATTGAGGTTAGGTTAGGATTGGGGAGAAGACAATCGTGGGCTGAATCCCTTAAGAACTTAGAGAATGAATACGTTGTTTATATTGATTTTTGGTAATAAAAGAGTTTACAAAGATGATCCTTGATCTGAATAAAGAGAACAATGGAAAATGACTAAGAACAAAGTGTATTGGA